TGGTTCCATGCTGAAAATGGCTTTCACGGCGTGCTGAACCTCTCCGATTGTGGAGTTTTCTCATTCCCCTCCGGTGTAGAAATACTGGACAACATTGTAGACTTTGTCAAACATTTATGACACTGATGATGCCGGTACATTAAGGGGTGAGAAATCACACCCTTGCAAGCCTTGGAAGGGATGAATGTTGAGAGCATTCAGGTTTGCTCAAACAAGAGCTGTGTGGAAAATGTCTCCCATATTGTCTTAAATCATTTGTATTTCATCCGATGGAAAATATATTGCTTTCAAAAGAAAATCAGGATTGAGGAATGGTTCAGAGAAATACTCGTGCGTTGGGTTGTTTTTTCTCATGTTTGTCTTACTTGCGAGATGGCCTTGGACTGTTCTAGGTATCTTGCTTTTGATTGTACAGCCGCCCCTGCAGCAGCTTTCGGCTTCCTTCATCTCCCATGCTTCAGTTAAAGCCTGGGAGAAGACCTTTAATCTTCTAAGTGCCTTGTGGATTTCTCAAAGTCCAGGCAGTCTGGGAGACCTGCTGTGACTGGGCAAGCTCAAAATCTCCACAGAATTTATATCTGAACCACTCCAAGAATTGAATTATGGAACCCTCTTTAATGGGAAAATGGAGGATGGGTTTTGACTCAACATGGTTCCACCTATTCTCAGAAGCTAAGTAGAACACGGGCCCTTCTTCCAGCACTGCATTGGGGTGGATACAAAAAGGAGACCAGTCTGTAATACAGCACAAAAAGCAGAACAACCCACAGAGAAAGAAAGAAGTTGCATTAGAAGCCTTTTCTATAGTGAACCTTTCTTTGAGAAACAGTTGAGAAGTGCTCCTCCCACTAGGAAATTCAGTAAAATGCTATATTTGCATACTTCCAAAGTGTATTTAGTTTTGCAATACATTTTTGAAAAGTGGAAAACAGGCCAAGCAGGCTCAAATGACCTAGAAACTCCCCATTTTGACTTGGGTCCAAACACAAATCACAGTTCAGAAATGTCTCCTACCAACTGGAAATCAACAAATAGCTATAAGATCTTTCCGTTTGTCAACATTTGGGAAAATTTGAGGATCTATTAGTCCCTTTTTCTTGGCACATTTTCCATATTTCAGATGAATGGGTGTGGCCGTTTTTATGCCATACAAATTTTAATGGCATTCTGTTTCATTTTCATTTTCCCAGAAAGAGCATCGCTAATACTAATTTTATCTAAAGGCAGAAATTTGCACTGAAAGTAGCTGCTGTTAAAGAGCTCAAGCCCAGGGGTTCTCAGCACATGCATACAATGTGCTTTGCAGAAAACCCCCGTCCGGGGTGTCCCATACACAGATTTGCTTATTCCACCAATGTTTTTCAAGGGTAGCTATTATGGAAATAAGATCCAACATAGAACTCAGCAGGACAGGGTACGTGGGAGGGCAGCTGGGAGAAGATTTCAATTAAAAGGAGATGTGATCGGCTTCTCCTTATGCCACATCCATCTACATTAAGTTCTTGGCACTTTATACGATAGCGGCTCCTCCTCCTCCTCCTCCTCCTCCTCCTCCTCCTCCTCCTCCATTTATACCCCACCTCTTTTACTCCTGGGAGGAGTGCAGGGAGTCCTACACAGCTCCATTTTATCCTCACAACAGCTACCCTGTAATGTAGGCAAGGCTGGGTGAAACTGACTGGCCCAAAGTCACCCAGAGAGCCAAATGTGGACAAGATCCGGGATCTTCCAGTCCGACAGGCAAACCGTCCTGCCGCGCTGGCCTTGTCTGCCATGCAGGGGTCCCCTGGGACAAAAGATAGGCAAGGGATGAAAACCGTTTAAGGCTCGCTTTCTGCTAAACAGACACCAGAACCACAGAATAGGGAAGGATAATGGCTGTGGGACAGGAGAAAAAGAAAGCCGGGGGAGGCTGGAGAACCGATCTTCCTTCCCATGAGTTATTTTTTGGCAACATCACCTGCTTCAAAGCCCTGAGCCAACAATTTGTGATGCTGCTGCGAAATCTGCGCGTTTCTATGAGATCCGCGTGTTCCAGCGCTCCAGGCCCAACGTGTCACTGGATTCTGGCAAGAACCATCAAAGCCATTCTCTTTCCTTCCTAAGGACACATTCAAGAACTTTATTGTTATTAGTTGAAGTGAGTAAATTGACTTTCCGATGCACAAGCTGTACAGCAAACAGAACCAGCTCAAAATAGTGTAGACACATGGATTTTCCAAAAAGAACTAGATATTAAGCAAAAACTGACCATCAGAATATTAAGACTAATGACAAAATCAATAGATTCTTCAGGGTATCCCATCTCCCAGAACAGTTTCCCCATACACACACATTCCAAAAAGAAAATGGTAGAACTATGGGATGTTATGTCTGAGGCAGAACTCCTCCATCACACAAATAGTGGCTAAGATTGCAGGACCAGGATTCAAGAGATCTGGGTTCGAGTCCCCACTCGGCCATGGAGCCAACTGGGTGACTTTGGGCCAGTAACTCACTCTCAGCTCATCCTACCTCACAGGGTTGTTGTGGGGATAAGTGTGGAGGAAGCCAGTGTGGCGGAGTGGTGAAGAGCGTGGGACTGGGACTCAGACTACCTGGGTTCGAGTCCCCGCTCGGCCATGGAGCCAACTGGGTGACTTGGGCCAGTCACCGACTCTCAGCCCAGCCTACCTCACAGGGGAGTTATGGCAAGGATGAAACAGAGTGGAGAAGGACTAGGTAAGCCACTTTGGGTTCCTCACAGGAAAAGAGGCAGGCTATAATTGTAATAAACAACTAAATGAAGCCAGCAGCTTTGAGGCTGGTTCTCACGCCCATCACCAGGTAGGACGGACAGCTGCCCATCCTACAGCTCCTCCGATCTGTTGGAGGCATCCCACATCTTGCCCAAGAGAGTAGCTTCTAGGTGGGAGCCAGGGATCAGCCGGCAGTGCTGCTTCATCCCCAGGGCCATGCTCCTGAGCATCTGCATCTCCTCCTGCTTCTTCCTGCCAAGGTCTACTCCCAGGGTTGGGCTGAGACTCTCAGGGCTCTGCTGAGATCACCCCTTCTTGGAAGCAGAATTGCAGAATCACAGAATGGCTCAAAGGGGTCAGAGGCCCATCAGATCCAATGCCTTGTTCGGTGCAGGACCCCCAGTTACACCACCTCTCTCAGATGGCTGTCCTGTTACATCTTACAGAATCACAGAATAGTTGAGTTGGAAGGGGCCACAAGACCATTGGGCTCAACTCCCTGCTGGACACTAAGTTACCCCGTCCCACTCAGGCGACTGTCCGGGCACTTTTTGAATGTCTCTAGTGAGGGAAAACCCACCACCTCTCCAGGTAATAGGTTCCATTGCCACGCAGTCAGAAAATTCTTCCTGGGATCTCGTCTCAACCTGGTATATTCCATGTCCTGCACTCTGGAACGGACCAGGAGAGATCCTGCCCTTCCTCTTTGTGGCAGCCTTTGAGGTCCCATCTACTCAAAGCAGTATCATGTCCCTCCTTCAGTTTTCTCCTCTCAAGGCTGAACGTGCCCCTTTCTCTCAGTCTCTCCACTTTGCCTCCAGTCCCTGAATCATCCTTGTTGCCCCCCTCTGGACAATTTCTAGCTTTTCTGCGTCTTTCTAAAACCGTGCTATCCAGAACTGGACACAGTCTTGCAGGAGAGGCCTAACCAGTGCTGAGTGCAGGGGACCTGGCATTTCACGTGATTTGGAAGTGATCCTTCTGTTCATGCATCCCCAAACAGTGCCTGCCCTTTTGGCAGCCACGCCACATTCTTGGCTCGTATTTAGCTTATGATCTACGGCCACCCCAAGATCCTTCTCCTTTGCAGTACAAGTGTCTGCAGTGATGCATCTACAACATGCTATTTTTGCAGGATGTTTTTTCCACCCTTTGCGGAGGGCTTGCCATTGGCACCTATTGGCTTTCATTCTGCCGTTCTCTGTCCGTCATTCTAAACTATTGAGAACACCCTGTTTGTTATCTCTGCCTTCCAGGGTACTCGCTCCTCCTCTCAGCCTTGTGTCATCTGCAGATTGAATTATCTTTCCTCGTGCTTCCTTGTTGATTTACTCATCTCGATTGCCTCCAGTGTGGGACAGCACACAGCGTCCCTGGCTCATGGGTTTCATTGCCACAGAACCAAGAAGAGCCCTCAGGCAGGGAACGGGGGCCAGACTCCTGCAAGAACAGGGCAGTGCCCACAGTGGGTCAGGCTCTGGAGCAGGAGGCTATGCCCACTTAGCTCCTCTAAACTCTCTGGGGCATTTCAGGGGTTCGTGAGAGACTAATCCATTAAATAAGATAAATGAAGGGTGGGGAGATCAGTGTTCTCCATCGGAGTAGATGCGACCGTGGAGCAAACCCTTCAGTTCCAGGAGGCACCTGGGCCTGATGACCTCTCAGCTCCAAGTAGACCCACTTAAAAGGCAAAATTCTGTTGCTGAGCAGTACAGATCTCAAGACAACTATATCCATGCATCTTTTTAGCCAAGCACCTGTCAGAACAGTTTGTAAGTTTTCTGCAGGACACGCAGCCGGCACCAGCCCCAGTGGGAAGGAAACACGCCCTTTAACTCAACCCAGGTACGGCTGACAGCGCGGTCCAGCTTCTGAGTTCCCAGCATTCCCAAGAGCAGATGTGTGTTCCGTGCGGCTCCACCAGCAATGCTTCATGGGACAACAGAGATGGTGGAGCCGAGACCCACAATGCCATTGCCCAGCACGCATGGAGCGAAGAAACAGCGCCTTCCGCAACTTTGAAAACCGGCCCCTTGCACGTGGCAACAGACTTTCGAGTTGGACGGTGCACATCCCCATTCCACCGTGCGGTGATACCTCAGCGTCCTTACCGGTATTTGTTCTGCTGGAGTGCAAAGGTGTGATCCTCTGATTTCGCATAATGTCTGGAGTGGTTGGACAGATGTAGGGATATTTAGGAGACCAGCTCTGAGGTTGAGGGAATTGGGAGATGGGACTCCAAAGACTGAGCCCCACACACACGCATGCACACGCATGGCACATGCACAGGGCTGTCATGGAAAGGATGAGGGACGTGGCCCATGCCCCTTGCAGAGGACAAGAACGGGTTTCCGGGGGGGCGAGGGAGCAGACTTGGAGTGC